TTCGAGTTTACTCATGTCATCATATTATCGACATTGAATTTAGATCCAAATTGGAATTTATATTACCTATTTAAGAGTGTGTTTGTTTTGGTTGATTTTTTTTTTAAATACTTGTTATTTTATTTTAAAATATTAATTTTTAAGTTGATTTCAATCTGATATCATTTTTTTCTAGTAGTTAAACTAAATAGAATCCAAATGTAAGTGATAGTCCTCCTTTTTTTTTTTTTTTATCTTGATTATATAATGGGAGACAATTATCTTTCATCGTTTATTTCACCTCACCTGCATCTTATGCGACTTGAACTCAAAAACTATTTATTTTTAACAGAAGGAGATGACCACTGAGTTATTTAGGTCATTGGTATAATCCTTGTATTCTTATTTATTTGTTTATATAATTAATTCTTCACATAATTTTAGATGATAATTAGAATTTTTTAAAGATATTATTGATATACCCTTCAGTTTAATATACTGCACAACATATTGATTAAAAAATTATTATTTTTTAGTTTAAAATTAAAAAAATAAATTTAAAAATACAATCATATATATAACATATAATAATTGGTTAAATCAAATGTACTTATATTATATTTTAATGCAAAACTAAACAGGTATAAAAAAGTTGTCAAACTAAAAGATAGATCAATTATTTTTTTCATTTTTAACATGTAATAATTGTTGAGTAGTTTTATTTAATAAAAAAATTTTCAGTTTTCATGTATATAAAAATATTGCTTAAAATTATGTGCCTGCAAAAATTGAAGTGGATGCAAAAAAAAAAAAAGAAAAAAAGAATTGAACATGTTGTAAATACCCAACAATTCATAAGTGATTTTATAATTCGAACATTTTTATTGGTCTAATTAAAGACTAACAGCTAATGTTTTTCCCCTTACAGCTAAAACAAACAGATTTCTAAACTTAATGGACCATATGTAATGGGATTAATGGATATCAGTTTATATTATAAAAATTAGATAGAAAAATATTGTAAAGTTATATCATTTTACTAAAATATTAAAAAAATTAAAATAACTTCACTTTTATTCTAAAAATTAAGATATTTTAATATTTTTAAATTAAAAATATAATTTAAAACTATTTTTTAATATAATTTTTTATAATAGATATTGGTACTCACTTTTTGAATATGTAATTAAGTGAAAATACTCAAATTGTATTTATCCGCAAGTTTTTCTTTAGTTTACCCAAATGAGATTTTCCCACTTCTTTATATACCACATACCCCATCAAATTTACCTGTGTCGTCTCATCAGCAAGCTAAGTAATATAGAGAGAGATCAATCCAAAAAAGTTATACATCTCTAGTTTTTGATCAACCATGCAGCTCTTCTCGAAGTTTCTGACACAAACAGATGTGGAGAGAAGATTGGCAATCCCAACAGACACCCTGCGAAACCATTTCAAGCTTTCAAGAGGCAAACATTTTGTGGATTTGAAGGTGAAGGACTCAATTGGGCAACTCTGGAGATTCCGCTGCTGCACTAGGCTGACCGGAAAACATCCTAAGCCAGTTTTCTCGACCGGATGGAATGATTTTGTCAGAAGCAAAAGTCTTCAAATTAATGATCAGGTTGTTTTCTACAAAGAGAGGGACAGAGCTGCTGGGGCTGAGTTTAGGATTGAAGTAAAGCGACGTATTACCAGAATAATGGGGAGAGATATATGGGTGGATGTGGAGCAAATACAAAACAACAAGCCATAACCAATATTAGAATAGTACTAGCTAGAAAATGTTGCGCACTTTATGAAACAGTGGCTACTACGGTATGCTTTTCGCAGTTTTTAGCTTAATTATTTTCTTCTTTATGGCCTTTTATCAAACTCCATGCGCACTAATGTCTATGATAGCCTATAGAGTATCTCTAGTAGTCTTGCCTTTTTAATTTGTTAATGTTATCCAATAGAGTGCCATGTTTTGCCTTGTAGATCAAGAGTTGTCCATTTATTCAATAATTTTCATTTTGTAGTTCAGTGTAATTCAAATTATATAATAGTTTTTTTACATCCAATATACACAAATATGGTGTTTTTATTAGAAAAATTAGGATTTGGGGAGAGGATGGTAGAAATCACCTTCTTGAAGGCAAGACTTCTCCTACTTTAGCTTATAAAATATGCTTTTCAGCACTTGGCCCTTTGGCCCAAAGAAAATGCGTCCTTTCCAACCCTGGCCTTGTGCAGGGTCCAATTCAAACTCCTCCCTCCTCCAAAATTGAAGCAATTTAAGAAAAAAAAAAGGGTTTTTCATGATATAAAGAAGTTCAAAAACTCTCTTTGAGGCGTGATTTATAAGGGACATTGAGTGTGTTTTCCTAGCTATTCTATGTGGCATATATGTGAAACACTATTCTATCTATTTTTAATATAGACACAAACATTGCCGTAATAGAATAGTGCACTTTCAAAATCATATATAATTAATCTTTTTAAGAATTTCATGACATATTACATTAATTGGCGAAAGTGTTGATTGTAATTCATGTACTCTTTTTTTTTTTTTTTTTAACATTATGGAAATTTGGAAAAAGGGTAACTATAACGTTAGATATATATATGTGAGGTGAATTCATTCACCAAAACCAAGTTCTTAGTATTGAGACATGCAGAAACCACTAGCGACCAAGGGCCTGTGTAACTGTTTACATGTATCCATGTATGCAGCAGGTAATCCAGATAATAACACGTTACCCTAGAAATTATATGTGTAATTTGTTCCAGCCCGTTCAATAAATTTTTCCTCTTTTTTTTTTTTGTACAAAAAAAATTATTATGCATGAAAGTGATATCTGATATATTTTTTAATGTTTACTATTATGGTGTTTATATATATATATATATATATATATCAATTTTTACACACTTCAAGGCCAAGGATCCCTCTTTAGACAATCCTTATATACTTGGCTATAAGTTGGCAAAAATGCAACAAAACACATAAATTACTCTACTCTAAACATCAATATATTCTAGAAAGCTTGCAAATTCCTAATTAGAAGATGGTCATATAAGTTCATCAAAGAAGAATTTACCAACAATGGTTTAACTGAGTTAGTACCCAAACTCATTAACTTAAAATCTTAAATTAAAATTAAAGTTAAACGTTCAAATCTTTGTAGTATTAAATAGTTAATCTTTTAGTATTAAAAGGAAAAAAAAATCAAAAAAGAAAAGCACTCTTGCTTTCTGTTCAAGAATAAGAAATTAGGGTTAAAGAGATGAAACTTTGCCGTTGCAGCAGTGGAGAGAGACTGATGTGTGCTAACATCTATGGTAGGAAACAAAAAGAGGAATCTTCGATTGGGTGAAGCTGGAAGTGAAAAATAAAGGTCACATGGTGGGCTTAATAAAAGCCCTATAGTTTAACATGATAGGCTGGACAAAGCCCAATATTAGTCTGGGCCATTTTCAACTTTTTTTTTTTATGGCAAAAGTAACAAATCAGGATTTGGGCTCGTCCGTACAATTGAATAAAGCTAGGATTCAAACACCTTAAACAAGGATAAATTTGGAATAAAAGTATATTCCTAATGCCTTTATAAAGATAGAGAATGACAATTATTTTAGATTATCCCTTTTATTTTTACTACTTTTACTAAGTACAACAACAAATCAGATTGAAATGAGCATATAAGTACTACATTATACTGTAATTGTTGTAGATAAGTACTTTGATAATACTCTCTTAGTTCTAAAATATCTTTCTTTTTGTATAAAATTACGAATTTGTAAATAATTTATGATTTATTTTTATTACTCTTAATAAAAAATAAAAATAAAGAAATAATTTTGGTGATAAGGAGTAACGATAAAAATAAGTACCCTCTTCATTTAAATTTTTAGTTGGCCTTTTTTTTTTTCTTGATAGTGACAAAATAGTGATGTAATAATTAATTGATAAAATTTCATATTTATTCATAATTAACTACTATTCCTTAAATAAGCATTCTTAGTGTAATATACTCCTTCCGTCCTAAAATATTAGACTTTGTTTATTTTATCTTTATATTAAGGATTTGTAGAGTATTTATAATTTTACTTATATTACCCTTAAAAAAAAACAAAAATAATGAGATGTAAGTCACGATAGAATAGATAATTAAAGTTAAGATATAACAACAATGTTAAAGTAGGAAGAAAAATAATTCTCCCCTAAAATATGAAAAAATAACTACTATATTATTTTGAGATAAATTTTAAACAAAAAAGAGTATTATTCTGAATATGCTATAATTATCTTCTTATAATAAAGGTAAAATAAAAAAATATATAATGAACAACATCACAAAAAGGGAAAAAGTTAGATTAACTAAAGTTGAAAAGAGAGAATATTATTTATCTAACTTAACCTTTAAGACAAAAAAAATATTATTGTGTAATGAAGCGAGTAAGGACTCTAGATCTATTTAATTTAATTAATATTAAAAAATGATAATTTATACAATAATTAATATATATTATTTAATAATTTAAAATTAACGTATAAATTGATATTTTTGAACCTCTTAACTAACTATTAACAAAAAAAATTATAAACCAATAAAGCCAATTAAATCAAGCGCATCCTTCATATTTTCAATCACGTAATGTTAAATTTGTTTACCTATGGCACAATGATTCGAAATAGCTTTTGGGCTTTAAATTTGAGTGCTAGCCTGGTAAGTGGATTGCTGTCTTGTCATCCGACAAGCCGCAATTTCGTCGTCGATGCATGGGTTTTTCATGGCTCATCCTCGAGTTTGTTCGGAGATGAAAGAATGAAACCAACAGTTGGATCACCGCGTGACCCAACTATGGCGTACGTAAGAACGTGGACGTCGCACCGTGACATCACATACCGGCGATACCGCCGCCCAATTTGCTGGCGGTTGTGTAAGATCCCTTTCCGCCGATAATCGACAGTTGCGGGCGATTGCTGGCCGCACCTTAAAATCTCTTTGTTGGAGTAGAAGTCAAAAGCAATCGTTTATTAATTAATTTGCATGTCATGAACACATAAACCCTTTATGCAATGAATCTTAAAGTTAAACCTCTCTTTACCTCAATTATAACAAGTCAAAAGTCAAAAGTCATGTTATTGCAATGATCAAAACCGTCATTGAACTTAATTAAGTTGCCCAGCTAAGTTAAAAATACCACGCATGATAAATAGAGGTATGTGCTTTATCTTAAAGATCTCGATGGATTGCCAAAAATTTAATTTTAGGACATAATAAAAGGTTAAGTGACACTATTGACAGAAAATATAGAGAAATTGGAGAGACTAAAATACGATAATAAGAATGAAAGTAAATTCAAATAGCATATGATCATGAAAGTTAAAATCAATTGGTTATGAATATATAAAGTAGTTTACATTTTTTTTTTAATATTAATCCTTGATATTTGGTAGTGATATTGAATCACAATTAATTTAGAATTGAATCGCGTTGGATTCTGTAAGGAAAACTCTCTCAATGTCTATTTTTCTATTCACAATATTTGAATTTGAGATTTTATTTAAAGAAATTGAATTATTTTTATTCGAATCAACAAGTCGCTAATATGATATAATTTAAAGTTAATAACTTTTCTTGTAACTTATTGACCCCACATTAAAAGAAAGTTTTAAACACTGTATAATGACTAGGATAAAGTGTTTATCAATCGGATTACAAAAAATTAAAAGGAAGCATACCCTAAAACTATATTATTTTATTAAATTTTTATTTAAAAAAATTAAAATAACATATTTTTAAAATAAAAGTGAAATTGTTTTGATTTTTTCCTATAATACCTAATGAAACTACGTAATTTTAAATGATTTTATTTTAATTTTTAAAGATCTCACTAATATATACTAATATTTAATGAATATAGTAATATAAATTTTAGTATTGTACATGACCAAATATCAATGTGCTCTTGAACTTGCCCTTTCGGGTCAAGTGACTCTAGCCACGCTTGTAAAGTTTATGTCCCTCTCTTTCAAGACAACGGTTCGAGGCGGCCCCATGACAAAATGTTCAAAAAAAATATATATATCAATGTGCTCTTGACAAAATTTACACATGACCAAATATCAATCAAACGATAGCTCCGCCAACCACGGTCGTGGCCAGTGGTAAGAATTAGTGGTATGCTACTTAGGTCTTGATTTCAAACCCAACCATTAACCTTAATTTTTCATCCATTAAATATAATTGAAATTTAATTACCTTACTAAAAAAAAAAAAATCAGATCCATATTTCTTTCAATTCGATAACCCAAGAACAAGGATCAAATATAGATAGCATATATGAAATCATAATATTTTTTGAAAAAAAAAAAAAATCAGATGATAGCTCCGTCTCAATAATATATATATATAGTATAGTATTCGATTGGTAAATGAAATCATTACCTATTTTCCAAAAAAAAGATTGGTAAATGAAAGAAAGAAAAAAGGCGCCGGCATATTGGACTTTGATGCCTCTTTCTCCATTTGCAAAATTGGGGAGTTTGGACTGAAAGAGTGAGCATGTTTCTGTCTAGTGACAATATAGCCCCTGGCATTGTTTTTCTTTACATTGACCCCACCCCCAGATTAGATTGTTTAAAGAAACACACGACGACTCTCGACACTCGACAGACACAAGCCACTGGCAAGAGCAAGACCACTCGGATTATCGCACGTCCAGCACGAGAAAAATATGGTAAAGTTGATTGAATTGGTGGCTTCCGTACACATTTCAAGATAAAGTCATTAAAATTGAAGTTAGAAAGGTTTTTTTTTTAGGGTTTAGATTAAGTATACTTTTTTAGTATTAAATGTTATTTAAAAAATAAATTTTTATTTTTATTTAATTAATTATTTAATTAAAATGGCTTATATGACATAAATGATAAAATTAATATTAAGTTTTATTATTTTTAATGTTAAT